ATACTGTCTATATTTATATGTATATACCACATATATCTTCTGGCTACATAAGACTGATATGCTGCTGGAGTGTTACATGACGTGTTGTGCAGCTGTGAAGGCACAGTTTACCTTTACAGTATTTCTTTTAATAACAGTCTGAATGAAAACAAGCAAAAATCAACTATACATAACGACTTTCTACTTCTTGCCCTTTTTAAAAAAATGTAAAGAGTAGAAAGTACAGAAAACTGTGTGAAAATGTAATGAGTAGAAGTAAAATGTAGGCTGAAAAATAATTACTCAAGTACAGATAACAAAAATTTATACTTAAGTACAGTAACAAAGTATTTGTACCTAGTTACTTTACAAATCTGTTTTTTTACATTATTTATCTGGTGTGTCAGTGGTTTCCAAGAGTTTCACGTTCTGACTCCAAAAATATGACTTTCAGATATTTGTGACTAGGCAATTTATCACAATTTGTTTGTAAGACAATACAATATTTCTTGTTATCACAAAGTCTGTCAAGACACAATTTTGATATAATTCACAAGTCTACAATCATGAGATGTGGTCATATGCTCATCTATCATAAATGATTGTGTTGAATGGGCATGTGATATTTTTTTTTCTTTTTGCCCCACTCAATTCAATCATTAATTATTTAATCAATATTTTGATGTGGAACGACGTGTTGTTACACCCCTACTTGTGACCTCAACTATTGCTTGCTAAAATACAAAAAAATTAAAGATAAGCCAATGGAACGAGACTGTAACAACCATTTCACTATAAAAATAAATGATAACTTCTGTTTTATAATGATACTGACATGATCTGCAATCTTTTTTACGTTTGTTTTCATTTTACCGTTGTTTATCCAATCAAATCCCGTTGAGATCTCAGATCTCGTTTTCAAGGGAGGCCTGGGCCTGAAGGCATCCTATTGTACGTGTTTAGTCTGTGGGAGGAAACCCACTCAACCACAAGGAGAACATGCAAACTCCACACAGAAAGACTCCAGGTCCGAACCAGGGATCCAACCCAGGACCTTCTTGCTATGAGGCATCAGTGCTAACCACTGATCCATCATGCTGCCAAGTTTATATTCACAGATATCATACCCAAATCCTTTACGTTTAGAAACTTTTTACTTTTTAACTGATCAGTTTAAATTTAAATAAACAAGTCATTTAAATCCCAAGTAAGAATTTCAATATACAGTTGAAGTTTACATTTTTGTGCCCTACTTCATCACAAGTAGACAGTAAAATGTACACAGAACCAAATGCTGTATGTAATTACAAACCTTGTGTGTAAAATTTTACCTCTAAGAACATAGTGTACCGTAGTTTGCCAACTGAACACACTCGTAAATGTTGTATGGGAGTGGATGAGTACTTGACATGCACAGATTGTGTAGTTTAGCACTTTGAGTATCCTAGTTTGTTAGAAATGTGCTATATAAGTACAGTTATTGTATCATTTATTGGTCTGAGTGGTGTTCAGTGTTGAAACTTGAAAAGTGAGGTTAACTTTGACCGCCACAGGAAACCAAACGTAACGTTTTTCACAAAATTATAATATCCAAAAACAGAATAAAAATCAGATTATATTTAAACATTTATTCTCTTAATTATACAGTGGGGAGAACAAGTATTTGATACACTGTTGATTTTTCAGGTTTTCCCACTTGCAAAGCTTGTAGAAGACTGTAATTTTTATCATAGGTACTCTTCAACTGTGAGTGATGGGATCTAAAACAAAAATCCAGAAAAATACAATGTATGATTTTTAAATAATTAATTTCCATTTTATTGTGTGAAATAAGTGTTTGATACACCAGAAAAATGAAACTTAATATTTGGTACAGAAACCTTTGTTTGTAATTGCAGAGATCAGACGTTTCCTGTAGTTCTTGACCAGGTTTGCACACACTGCAGCAGGGATTTTGGCCCACTCCTCCATWCAGATCTCCTCCAGAGCCTTCAGGTTTCGGGGCTGTCGCTGGGCCACACGGACTTTAAGCTCCCTCCAAAGATTTTCTATTGGATTCAGGTCTGGAGACTGGCTAGGCCACTCCAGGACCTTAAGATGTTTCCTACGGAGCCACTCTTTAGTTGCCCTGGCTGTGTGTTTTGGGTCGTTATCATGCTGGAAGACCCAGCCACGACCCATCTTCAGTGCTCTTACTGAGGGAAGGAGGTTGTTGGCCAAAATCTCACGATACATGGCCCCATCCATCCTTCCCACAATATGGTGCAGTCGTCCTGTCCCCTTTGCAGAAAAGCATCCCCAAAGAATGATGTTTCCACCGCCATGCTTCACGGTTGGGATGGTGTTCTTGGGGTTGTACTCATCATTCTTCTTCCTCCAAACATGACGAGTGGAGTTTAAACCAAAAAGTTCTATTTTTGTCTCATCAGACCACATGACCTTCTCCCATTCCTCCTCTGGATCATTCAGATGGTCATTTGCAAACATCAGACGGGCTTTGACATGCGTTGGCTTGAGGAAGGGCACCTTGCGTGCACTGCAGGATTTTAATCCTTGACGGCGTAGAGTGTTACTGATTGTTTTCTTTGAGACTGTGGTCCCAGCTCTATTCAGGTCATTGACCAGGTCCTGCCGTGTAGTTCTGGGCTCATTCCTCACCTTCCTCAAGATCAATGATGCTCCACGAGGTCAGATCTTGCATGGCGCCCCAGACCGAGGGAGATTTTCCGTTATTTTGTATTTCTTCCATTTTCTAATAATTGCACCAACTGTTGTTGCCTTCTCACCAAGCTGCTTGCCTATTGTCCTGTAGCCCATCCCAGCCTTGTGCAGGTCTACAATTTTATCCCTGATGTCCTTACACAGCTCTCTGGTCTTGGGCATTGTGGAGATGCTGGAGTCTGATTGAGTGTGTGGACAGGTGTCTTTTATACAGGTAACCAGTTCAAACAGGTGCAGTTAATACAGGTAATGAGTGGAGAACAGGAGGGCTTCTTAAAGAAGAACTAACATGTCTGTGAGAGCCAAAATTCTTACTGGTTGATAGATGATCAAATACTTATTTCACATAATAAAATGGAATTTAATTATTTAAAAATCATACATTGTATTTTTCTGGATTTTTGTTTTAGATTCCATCACTCACAGTTGAAGAGTACATATGATAAAAAATTACAGTCATATACAAGCTTTGCAAGTGGGAAAACCTGAAAAATCAACAGTGTATCAAATACTTGATCTCCCCACTGTAACTGGTAAAAAGCCATGTAAAGTGGAAAATAAATAAATTCTAACCAAAACTTCAAACAAATAAATAGAACTAATGTACACACTGAAATCTTTAATTGGTCAGGGTTAAAACTGCAGTAAAACATAAACGATTTGTTAAAAAATATGTTAGAACATTAAAAATACATTTATAAAACATAAATACTCATTGAAATTCCAACAAAATGAACACCTTTACAAAATGTAAGGAGTAATAAATGAAATCCTTCAGCGTAATTTAAGGAACGTAATTTGACAAATCTAAATGAAAAAAAAGTAATTATATTGTTGTAATGAGAAACTTCATTGCAGCCCCGACACTTTCTTTTTCTAAAAATGTATGCTTCTTGTAATGTCAGTTCTCATTAAATTGTGGGTCCACTTGCTTTTTAGAAGCAAAATAAGCCAAACTGTTGTCAGATAAAGTTTGGCTTCCAGCATCATGGTTTTGAAATATGTGGTGAAAGTTCCTGTTTAACTGGGACTTAAGGAGTTCAAAAGTCTCTGTCAACCTCTGCAGACTCTCTGCTCAGACCAGACAGATGTGAGGACTATGGAGCAGTTCTTTGTTTAATCATTTGTAATGTTTGCTGTGTTGGCCAGTCTCTCTCTCTCTTTTTCTCTCATGTTTTTATTTTGTGTTTGGATTGCTTGCATGGTATTATGTTACTGTATTTTTATTTTGCTGTGCAGCTCTTTGGTTGCATTGGGGTGTTTAAAGTGCCATATAAAGGACGTTTTCATTGATTTGATTTGATTGAAAATATGGATTCACGAGATGCATTCTGTTTTTATTGAAACAACTTCCCAAGTTTTTCTGAATTGGGGTTATATGTGAATTTAAAGATAAAACATTAGTATGGTCCAGAAACCCAACCTGATTTATTATTCTCTAAATGCAGTCAAATTTAATCTACTTTATTTTTGTTTGTTGTTGAATTCTGAATATGTGTGTGTGTGTTGTTGCAGGTGTGTTGTTGCTGGTTGGGCAGATAGCCGATGCTCTTTGTACACCTCTTATTGGGTATGAGTCGGATCAAACTTCTGGATGTGGAAACTATGGCAAGAGGAAAACCTGGCATTTAGTGGGTAAGTCCTATTATGCAGCATGCTTTCAAAGCTCCTTAGAGAAACTGGTAATGAAATAAGCACAAAGCTTTTCATGGCCCAGAATTTATATCTAGATCCCAAAACTGCATGATACCAGTTTAGGAAATACTGGTGAACTGAGATATGAAACATTTAAATGACTGCATTTAAAATATTTGCTACAATTGTGCCATGTTTTTAATATGCAAAGTCTAAAAGCATTACTTAAATTTCAGTGTGTTGAAATTACCAGTATGATTATACTTTGTTAATGGTAAATAGTGCTGAATATACTTATTATGGTATAATACAGAATAAATTCTTGAAAAAGACCAAAAACAGTATCTTGATATGCCATACCTGTGATGGATTCTCTTTGCAAAGGAGAAATGCCCCCAACACAGATTTACACAAATTTCTGAACAATATTTAAAGGAAGGTGGTTTATTGTGTACATAGAAAAAGTCTTAGACCTTTGAGTTCAGCTCATGAAAAATGGGAGCAAAAACAAACGTGCTGCATTTATATTTTTGTTCAGTGTATTTCTTGAAACAAACTACAATTTTGACCCAAATTGGTCTCAAAATATATTGATATGTACCAAAGACCATATAGTGACAAAAGAAGTGCATCATATTTTATAATTAGAATAGTTCCTGGAGGAACTATGAGGGCTGGCCACATGTCATGAAGTAGAAATAAAGATTTGATTTTACTGTTTATTTGAGATCACTGTGATCTACTACCATCCCAAGTTTGAGCCAAATATGTCTAAAGATGGCTGAATTGCTGTCAATTTTGCATTTTAGCTATGGTGGCCATCTTGGATTTTTGATTTTGCTTCAGTATGTGATGGATGGTTCTTAGCTACCACCACACCAAATTTTAGCCCAAAATGTTTTAAAATGTTATTGCAGTTTCAAATTAGTTCTGGAGGGCATCTTAATTTTTTTTTCAATTTCAATTCAGTTTATTTATTTAGCTCCAAGTCACACCATACGTTGTCTCAGGACACTGTACATAAAAAGAACAATCTAAAGAAGAAACCAGCAGATTGCGTTGAATCACTTCATCACAGTCTCCCATCCTGAGCAAACGATGGAGAGGAAAAACTCCCTGCTAATCAGGAAGAAACCTCCAGCAGAACCAGGCTCAGGACAGGAGACCATCTGCCTCGACCAGCTGGTTGAGGGACAGGAAAGAGACACAGACAAACACAGAAGAACTGGTCCAGGACTGGTCCAGGTGCACCTTCTTCTGGAAGACAAAGAAAAAACATGATAGAAATAATTACAATAAACATGTAGAGAAGAGAGACTAAAGACAACAGCAGAGTGAGGAAATGTGCTCAGTTTGTGCTCCAGCAGGCTAAGTCTATAGCAGCAGAAATGAAGAATAATTCAGGAAACCTAAGTCTAACTATAGGATTTATCAAAAAGGTAAGTCTTCAGTCTAATCTTAAAAGTAGAGTGTCAGCCTCACAGACAGAAACTGGAAGTTGGTTCCACAAGAGAGGAGCTTGATAACTGAAAGCTCTGCCTCCCATTCTACTTTTAGAAACTCTAGCCTGAGCTTTTTGACTACCTTGATGACCTCTGCCATGAGACATACATCCAGGGGCTTTGTGAGTATTTCCACACCCACCTGATGCCTCTCTCCCTGGGCAACTTGGGAGTACGAGAGAATCCAGCCCCTCTCTAGGAGTTACTTCCGTTGCTATGCCAAATTATTTGCAAAATCCAAGCATTTAGCTTGTAAAAAGCCTATAATTGCATCAACAATCTCTGCAGCATCTGCCTTTGAAAGTTCTGTTAGCTCCAGATAAGTGCTGACAAATCGCATGAGTTGTTTTTTTTTTATTATCGTTACTCAACCCATAATGTAAAGTAACGTCTTTACGATGATGTCTGTTGTTTTGTCTTATTAAAGCGAGTATAGAGAGTCGCTGATGTCCTCTACAAAGTTCTTGAAAGCCAAAACAAATTTAATCACAGTCGTAGACATGGTTCTGTGCTCCTGAAAGGTTCCAATCTCACCCTGCAGAATGTCAGACAAGTCATCTGTTGCACTAACTGCAGTGTGCCAAGCTATGTGTGTTGCACTGCGGAGCTTTCTGGTCGTTACAAGTCCAGGTGCTAACATTACTCACTGATGCTGCCATAAAACCCTTTATCATGGGAAGACACTCTGTGTTTCTTTGTTTGGGAGTGGTCCTTGAGGTCTTTCAGGTGGGCCTGTATGTTTGCATTACAAATTTTGCGGTGAGTCTTACTTTCATCATTTACATTACGGTATGGCAAATGCTGCTACAGGAGATGTTTTTGTCAGCCATGTCTCTGACAAGTGGATGTAATCCAAGTTTGATGCCTAATTTGCACTAGATGCAGTTCCGCTCCGGTGTGGTGTGTAGTTCGCCACCGTTAGGCGTGCAAACGAACTACGCACCGCCCTGGAGTGCAGCCGCATCTAGTGTAAATTAGGGGGGCGTCCGTGAAAAACTTTTTCTACTTGGTCAGTTTTTGAGGTGATGCTGCTAATATTTGAATTCTCCCCAAGCAGTCCTTTTAGTTTTGATTTAGTATCTCAGAATACCTTAGCATGAATAAGTGTATGGAAAAGTGACCAATCATATTTCTGTTGCTTTGGCTGTATTAATTGTTTTTTTTTTTCTGCTGTAATCTGCCACACTACTTGTTGTGCTAAGTTTATTTTCTGAAGATAAGGGCTAACCTTGTATTTGTTGTTGTCTTTATGTGTTCAATGCAGGTACACTAAGCGTGGTGCTGTCATTTGCCTTCATATTTAACCAGTGCCTGGGCTGCAATGTCCACACTCCTCAGTGGGCCAGTTTGACCTACTTTGCCCCGTTTATCATCATCTTTCAGTTTGGCTGGGCTGCCACACAAATCTCCCACTTGTCTCTTATTCCAGAGCTAGTCACCTGTGAGCATGCTAAAGTGGAGCTGACTGCATACAGGTAACTCAAATAAAATACTGACCACACAGCAGCGCCACTAACCGGTCTTAAATATGGACTTTCTCTTGTGTGTGACCAGGTATGCATTCACAGTCATAGCCAACATTGTAGTGTATGGACTGGCCTATCTGCTGTTTGGCGTTCAGGCTGGAAAGGACAACGACCCTCTGAGTGATACACTCGGCCCAGCAGATATTCCAGTCTTCAGGGTGAGAACTGTTCTTGTACTTCTGAGTGTATTCAGGGCTTGTAGATGGATGATTTTAAAACAAAAAAAGTCAAAAGCTCATGTATTTTTTAGAAGTTCCAGTATTGGACAAGGCTCCAAGTGCTGTCAACTCGAGTGTCTAAAACATCTTCAAATGTTTGTGCTGGTCCACAGTTGCAGTTCTGTCATTTTCTGTCAACAGAAAATTAAAAAGTACAGCTGTACTTTGATACCTGCAGTGAGATTTCCTTATGGCAGAAAACATCTGAGGCTAAAATCTAGGTCTAAAAATCAATCGGATTAAAAACAAAAACTAGAAAATTCATGCAAAAATGTTGAAGGTCCCTATACAGCTTCTGTCCAAAACTCCAACAAAACGTTGAAATAATCGAACTTCAAATAAAATACCCTTGTTTTGATGTATAAATTTCAGAAGAAGTGTAAGCACAACCAAGATTTATTGAAATGTCAAAGCTGGTGCTAGTGACTCATTTAGGTTCAACATGGGTATTCACGAACTGAGTGTCTGGTTTAAGTGCAGAATCGACCCAGAGCACAGGCAGAGTTCAGGCGCAGAAAAACAAAGT